ACAAAATGACAACAGGGTATGAATTTCAAGAAGGGGACATTATAATAATTAACATCATTTGGTATTTGGCAGGTAAAGTACTGAAAACATATTTTTATACTGAATGTATCACACATCTCACTCAGTATCCCTCTAACTTGAGTAACTCTTGAGCCTTATATTGGGTGAACAGTTGCAAAAAAAATAAATAATGTGGCAGAAACAGAACTGTTTAGTGCTATTGCTTATGGTACCTGCCCCTGTTGGTCACAGAGGTGATGTTTAGTGTGCTGTCTCTGCAGAAAGAAAGCAAATGACTGCCCTGCCCTGCTGGAACAGAACTGGTGTGAACCTCAGGATGTCTGGTTATGAAGAAAGTGTCTACCAGCTTCCCCATGAAATAATCGGGACAGTGAGCTGAGTGATGATGGCTATGCAAATGATTCCTTTGCTAGCCAACTGCTAAAACTGCGGGCTGTTCATGACCCTAAATGTTCAAAAGCCGAAACAGTTTTACCCACAGAAATCAGTGTAAAAGGATTAATTCATTTCTGAACTCCAGATGGTTGCTTACTTAAACTTTGACAACAGTATGTTGTGCACATGTTGATACACAAACCCAATGAAAATCTGCAAATCTAATACAAAATATAAAAATACAAAATATTTGTAGAAATATATTAAGATAATGTTCATAAGTATGTTCTGATGCTTTCTTGAAAAATCTTTTCTTTTGATGTGAAAGAGATGCTTGGAACCCCTGCACAGAGAAAAAACTTTTTTATTTTGTCGAATAAATCAGAAAGACATCTAATTTGAAACCTGTTGGAATACTGTTTGTCCTTCTCCAAGTAACAAATTGTTTATGATCTTATCATCTTGTTCTGCTGTGGTTGCCTGTACAGCAACAGCCACTCTGGAAAAGGTCCCATCAAATAATATACAGTCATCTCTAACACATTTTTACATTCTTTCAGTCAACTCCAGAAATATTGATTCATTTTCTATGGATTATGAACCTTTTGCAGGCTACTTAAAGCCAGAAAATATTTTTACATCGTAAGAATTTTTTTTTGAGATAATAATGGTTTAGTGATACAAGTCTTACTAATTGACCCATAGCTGAGGGAGAAGAGGTTGATTCATACCTTTCCCAAGGGTATTTATGCATAAGTGAATATTACAAGCCCAAACTATTATTCATTACAACACCTACACATCCAAGCTTACAGCACCTGGTATTCCCAAGTGGTCACCCATCTAGGTATTAATCAGGCTTGACATTGCTTAACTCCTGAAATAAGCAACAATTCATCATTCACCTAAAGCTGTTTCCATATTTGAAATATGCAGTATTGATTGACTGCAGAAATAGTTTTGCTTTCAGTTAAAATGTATATAATATTTCTGTTAAACAGTTTTTAAACAAGAGGACCTCTCCAACCTGCCACATATAAGGAAATATTTGGCATTCATTGATTGAGCAGCCAGTTATGCTTTTGGTTGTAATTTACAAAATCTTACTATGATTTTATTTAATCTTTATGTTAAATCTTAATAGTAATATTAGCCATTTCCTTATAGGGAAATATTTGGCATTCATTGATTGAGCAGCCAGTATTGTTTTTGGTTGTAATTTACAAAATCTTACTATGCTTTTTTTTAATCTTTATGTTAAATCTTAATAGTAATATTAGCCATTTCCTTATAGGGAAATATTTGGCATTCATTGATTGAGCAGCCAGTATTGTTTTTGGTTGTAATTTACAAAATCTTTCTCTTAAAATAATTTTTCAGCAAAATAGGTTTTTCAAATACAGTAGCAGTTCTCACTCTTTCCATCATTGATGGAGCAGGGTGGGGGTCTTCCTTTCTAACCTTTTATTTGAAGTAGCATGGAATATTAACATTTTAATTATGTCATTATTTTCTCATTGGGTTACATAAGCTATACATTTTAGTTGTTGCTACTGTTGGTAGTCTTCAAGTGATTTGGTTCCTGTTATTTTTTATAGTTCTTTGATTGCAAATCTGTAGTGCCAGGCCACAAAGGAGGAGGATCTTGGCTATGAGCCTCAAACTTCAATCACTGAAAGCCTTTTTTAACCATTAATCTATGAAAGCTGACAGTTTAGATATTTCTGAACGAGTTTGATGTCATTCATGGCATCCATATGAAAGTCCAATCTGCCAAGGCTATTTAAGAACATGACTCAAGTTTTCAGGTTGATTTGGTTTTGTAGCAATTTGTGGTATTGGGCGAAACTCATTGTTCTGATGAATTCTTGATATCAGTACTTATTGGTTAATTTAAAACGATCTTGGTTGGAATTTGAACTCAGCACACCAATTTCATTTTTAGTATTGATAACCATCACATATATGTTCATATTTTTCCATATAAGCCATATTGTACATACAGTTTATTGCTTGCTACCAAAACTAGTGCTGATAATACTGTACAGGGTGTAAAAGCAAAATTGTTCAAATTGCATAAGATAACTGTCCATCCCACAAAATGTCTGATATCTAAAAAACCACTAAACTAATTGAGCTTCTTTTTTCCAGGTTTTCAGATAAGACGTTTAGCCATCTTGGCACCATTTTTCATAATAATCACTCAAAAACCCTTTGAGTTATTCAGTTAGAAAGAGGTTAAAACTGTTTTGTGTCAGCCACACTATGTCTTCCCAAATGAGCAATGGTAAGACGAAAAAATCATTCAGGCCATCAGTAATGGTAGAACATTTATAACCTCGCTTCCTTCTTTAAAGTCTATTAAAGAACCATCAAAGGTATAGTGAATAAGTTTAAAAAAGAGGGAGCAGTAGAAGAAATCTGTGTCAGGAGGTCACAACAGTGAGAGAGGTCATCATTTCAACTTAGAGCTGAATACAACTTTTTGTTCAAAGTAGAGTCCAGTAAGGTTAAAAAAAAAAAAAAAAAAAAAAAAAAAATCAGAATTCCAGTAAGATATCTTTAATCATTTCTAAGATACAACAGTTCAAAGCTTAATCTAACAATTGGACAATTTTGCTGTTACATGATTTGGACAATTTTGCTATTTCACTTGGTATATACTACTTCATATCACAAAGTCTTATACACATTGCGGTAACTCCTTGACAAGAATCACCATAAGTACCTCCAAATTTTTAGCACACATCGCCAAATGATACTGCTATGGCATTTACTAGTTCATATAAAAATACACAACACCTGTGCAAGACTGTACAGAACCTAGTTTGTCACACCTACCACTATTGCCACTAATGAAATGCATTGCTAAACTATCTTAATGTGCCCACATCCACTCTTTGGTCTCTGTAAATGTTCAGAAAGAATTGATAAATGTTACTGGGTGCCATTTTTTTTCCACATTAAATGTTGTGCATCTGCTTTGTATGCACTTTCATGTCAAATGCCATTTTGCCAGCCTGCTGTTCAGGTGTTATCTGTAACAAAGCAAAGAAAATGTCATCAGCCAATGTAATAAATTGACTTTACTTTCAGAGTGATCCCTGGAGTTTCATATCCATTGTGATAGATTGCTTTTCAAAAAAAATTTGTTTGGCATTAATTTCAGCCAATTTTGATCTGCAAAAATTTAAATGTAATGTCAATCATTATCTACTGTCTTCTTGATTCCTCTTCTTTTATTTTTCTCGCTCCTTAATAATGTTCCTCTTTTTTTCTTATTATTTCACACTCAGTAACCCATTGTGTCTTTTTGGCTTTACTTCCTTGCTTGAGGTGAAATGATTAAAAAAAAAAAAGCATAAATTTAAATAAAGAATTTTTTTCATATAGAGTATTAGGTATGCGCAATCCATTGTTTAAAAAAAAAAAAAGAAAAAAAAAAGAGTGCTGAGAACTTTTTCACATGCCTAATAAAAACTTATCTCAAATGAAGTTTTTTTTTTTAGATTTTAGGTGACTAACATTAACACAAAATAAACAGTAAAAGTCATGTGTATCTTTTCAATAATACAAAAAAAATCCTGTTTGTGAAGAAATAGACAAAAAATGAAAAAAATAAAAATCCATTATTAAATATATGTTTCAAAGCATCTTTTTGAAGTTTTCTTTTGTAGAGAACGTCTTTTCTATCTTTTTTAAGATAGAAGCAAAACAGGGACAGCTGAATAAATTTGATATTTTAAATCTCAATGTCTGCAGATTTTTAAAGATTTTTTTGTTTGTTTTAATTAAAAAAGATGATTTAATAAGGGATCATTGAAAATTCATTAAAATGCTTGTTGAAATAGAAAACATTTTAGAAATCTGAATTTCAAAAGTAGTTTATGAAGGTATGGTGCCATTATGCAAAATGCAACCAAGATTTTAAAAAATATTTCCTTTCCTGACCAACAACAAAAGCAAAGAGAATAAACGATTGAAACATTCCGCAAAAAGCCACTGAATCATGTTAAGGTTAATACAATCGGCAAATTTTGGGTGAATATTTTATTTTCCTAAATAGGAATGTTTCCACAATGCCAGAATAATGAACTTTCTCTTTTGTCAACTCTGACATATTTTTCTTCTTTAGATCATAAAGTTACATTGATGATCTTGTACAGAATTTTTCTGAATGCAAATGAGAGAAAGAGAGAGAGAGAAAGAGAGAAAGAACAGGTACAGAAAGGTGAGAGAGAAAATTATGTAGAGGTGTGTGAGTGTGTGTGAGAGAGAGAGAGAGAGAGCCAAGATAGAGAAAAGCAACAGAGAATGAACAGAGGAAGGGAAAGGCAATTGGGAGACAGTGTTGAGGTAGGGAAAGGTGAGAGAGAGAGAGAGAGAGCCGAACCTGAGATAAAGAAAAGTGAGAGGTTGAGAAAGATGTGAGAGATATCCATAGCAGGGAAGGGAGAGAGAGGGCTGAGAGAGGGCAAACAGAGGTAGGGAAACAGGTTGAGATAGAGAAAGATGAGAGGAAGCGTACAGGTAGAGATCAGGTGAGAGAGAGTGAAAGCTGAGGTAAAGAAGAGTGAGAGGTTGATAAAGGCAAAAAATAGAGCTCAGGTTGAGAAAGGCGAGAGAGAGAGAGACGACTTAGAGAGGAAGGCGAGAGAGAGACGACTTAGAGAGGACAGAGAGGAAGGCGAGAGAGAGAGGACAGAGAGGAAGGCGAGAGAGAGAGGACAGAGAGGAAGGCGAGAGAGAGAGGACAGAGAGGAAGGCGAGAGAGAGAGGACAGAGAGGAAGGAGAGAGAGAGGACAGAGAGGAAGGCGAGAGAGAGAGGACAGAGGGAAGGCGAGAGAGAGAGGACAGAGAGGAAGGCGAGAGAGAGAGGACAGAGAGGAAGGTTAGAGAGAGAGACAGAGAGGAAGGAGAGAGAGAGGACAGAGAGAAGGAGAGAGAGGACAGAGGGAAGGCGAGAGAGAGAGGACAGAGAGGAAGGCGAGAGAGAGAGGACAGAGAGGAAGGCGAGAGAGAGAGGACAGAGAGGAAGGCGAGAGAGAGAGAGATGACTTAGAGAAGAAGGCGAGAGAGAGAGAGACGACTTAGAGAGGAGGGCGAGAGAGAGAGACGACTTAGAGAGGAAGGCGAGAGAGAGAGACGACTTAGAGAGGAAGGCGAGAGAGAGAGACGACTTAGAGAGGAAGGCGAGAGAGAGAGACGACTTAGAGAGGAAGGAGAGAGAGAGACGACTTAGAGAGGAAGGCGAGAGAGAGAGAGACGACTTAGAGAGGAAGGCGAGAGAGAGAGACAACTTAGAGAGGAAGGCGAGAGAGAGACAACTTAGAGAGGAAGGCGAGAGAGAGAACTGAGCCAAAGAAAGAAAAAAGAGAAAGTTGAGAGAGAGAGAAAGGCAAGAGAGACAACTGAAAGAAAGAGGCAAAAGAGAAAGTCAAAAGAGAGAGCAGAGAGAAAAGACAGTCATGTTTTTTGTCACAACAGGTTTCAGCTTTAATTATATCAGACATTTTATTCCTGTTCCCATGTTTACATTTCAAAATGGTTTCATGGAGAAAAAAAGATACAGAGGAATGGAGAGGGAGGCGAGAAAAAACAGAAAAGTTCATTAGGAAAACTAAACATTTTTTTGACAATCATTGTTCTTTAAGCAAACCATGTTTTTGTTAAAAAAGTTTTTTTTTAATTAGGAAACTGTCACATTTTGATGATCAAAAACTGCGAAAAATAAATAAAAGGAAAATTAACATTTCACACACACACACACACACACACATTTTTATATAATAAATGCGAATGTCAGTGTGTCACACTGTTTCAACTTTACTCCTAGAGGCCGTAGCCCAACATATAATACCATTTTGGAATCGGACCAACTCTGTGAGCAAATTAAAGACATTCTGGGCCAAATCCAGACCTGCAACCCTGAAATTTTCGATTCCCAACTTTTTCATAACTGCAATTGTTTTTGGTGATTTTTTTTGTGACAAATTTTCTGTATAATGACAATTTTTATAACTTGGAAATAAATTTGGGAATAATCAAAATTAATGATGAAATCCAGCAAAAGTCACCCATGAAAAAAAAAATTATTTGTACTGAAAGTAAGGACCTACATACATCAAATTGTTTTTAAGTTAAGTGATGGCAGAAGAATTATCATTGAACTTTTAAAAGGTAAGCTTAAATATTAATGCAATACCTAAATGCAGGGATCAATTTTGAGTTCTTCTGTAGTTTATTGTTGCCTAGTGAATCTACTCCTCCCTACCTATTGTGATGAAGGCCCAGTCAAAATCCCTCTGCAGAAGGTAGTTTAAATACTAGTATATATATATATTCTTCGGTGTCGAGGCCCGGTTGGTACAGTTGGTATGTTGTCTGCTTGACAACCCAACTGTCAGGGTTTCGATACCTGGTGGTGGATGCGCACTGCTGATGAGTCCCAATTATAGGACGAAACGGCCGTCCAGTGCTTCCTCTATTTTCCTGTTGAAGTTTATATCAGACTCAATGAATTTATTTATATATATATATATATATATATATATATATATATTCACTTTTTCAATCATTTCACCCCAAGAAAGGCGATAATACCACTAGGACATAGGAGGTTACAGAGAGTGGAAGAGAATGAGAAGACTTTAGTGACACGTGAGGAAAAGGGCAATAAAAAAACAGTTTTCAGGAAGACAGATGGTGATTGATGGTGAGGAATTAAGGAGAAAAACTCATCAGAATAAGTGCTATGAAAATATTTATAGAAAAGATAGAGGGAAACCACATCATGACAGTAAAAATGTGACTGAAATCGAGATGCCAGATCAGGACCAATAAAATTACAGACCCTTCTTTGAAACAAATTTAGAATAGAAAAGTGATTGAAGCCAAGGTATTGGTCCTGACCTAACATCTTCGCTTCTGTTTATTTTTCCACAACTATAATATAGATCCCATTGTCTGTACCTTTTCTATAAATATTTTCATAGTTATTGTTGTAATTAGATTTCCTCTTTCATACCTTGACTTTATGAATTTAAACTCAGTACTAGTTTGGCAGTTAGGTCTCTTCATTTTATAGTTGAAATGGCAAGATATAACCATAAGTTCTATGCTAACAGTTTCTTCTCTCTCATTTGTCATTTGTGGAACTCTCTTCCAGCCTCTTGCTTTCCGCTCAACTGTGATCTTCAAAAATTTAAATGCAATGTCAATCATTACCTTCTGTCTTCTTGATTCTTGTTCTTTGGTTGAATTCTTTTTTTTAATAAGGAACCCATAAATAAATTTTTTAATCATTTTTTTAATATTTAAATTAAATAATTTTAATATACAGAGTGGGTAGAAATAAACTCCCTATTGTAAATTACTTATAACTTTTGTTAATGTCATCATATTTGAATGAAAAAAAAATATTGTGATCCCTAACGTGGTAGAATTTCATTGCTAATTTATGTTTTTATTTCAGAGTGACAAGTATAGTCTGGAATGACACAACACTTGACACTACATGAACATACTCAGCTTGCATCCTGTAACAAAGTTTGGCAGTCTGTAGTATAAATGCAGTGTTCATGGAACTTTTGCTTCAGCAGATACCAAAATCATTGGAAATTGTCATTCCAAGCTGATAAGTATGGCATCTGTGGTAGATATCCACAGAAGTGGTTGTCCTTCAACATCCAGATTAGAAGAAAATGTGCAAAAGGTAGAATTTTAATGTTGCACAGTATTGTACTATTATACTGTTCCAAAGTAAAACATGTTTTATAAAAATTGACTAATAATGAATAACGTTATTAACAATTTTAAATAGGGAGTTTCTTTCCACCCACTCTGTATGTAATATATGTTGTGTCGGAAACCTACCACCCCTCATGAAGATGAACTTATCCGCCTCTGTGAACAAAGACTTTAAATAGTGGCATGTCAGTTGACATGAAGATAGCTAGACAGAGAAGTTCTTAGCTGAGCTAGTTATTGACTACTCAGGCGATTTCTGTATCTTTTTACCAACCTATTGAAACCCTTTTTATTGTTACGTGTTATTTGGTGTTTGTCTCTACTAACCCCAAATCAACATCATAGCAATATATATATTATGAAATGGACAAAGTCTGACAATTATTTTTTATACATTTTTATGTTTATACATTCTTTTTATAGATACAAATATTTAAGTAAATGCTCTGTTTTATAATAAACAGTATTAATAACATTTACCAGCCCGAGAAATCTTCATAGAAAATATTCGTCCTCTGACAGGAATTGATTCTGTATCCTATATAGAACTGTCATATACGTGACGTGCTTTTAACAATTGAGCCACAGAGGATTGTTTGGTTAGTAAGGTCAATTTTACTGCTTTTTAAGAGATTCATGGAAGATTGTAGTTTAAAAGCAGTAAAATCAACCTTGCTAACTGAACGATCTTCTGTGGCTCAATCAGTAAAAGCACGTCAGGCTATATGACGGTTCCATATAGGATACAGGTTTGATTCCTGTCGGAGGACGAATATTTTCTATGAAGATTTCTCAGACATTCAGGCCGGTAAATGTTATTAATACTGTTTATTATAAAACAGAACATTTACTTAAATATTTTATCATTAAAAAGAATGTATAAACATAAAAATGTCTTAAAAATATATATATATATATATATATATAGAAATTTTGTTATTATTGCAACTTTTCCAGCTTTCACATAATTCATGATATTCAAACTTATTGATTATTCATGTGTTAATTTTTAAATTAATTAATTATAGCTTCAATTTAATTTAATTATTTTATATAAAAATACTTTTAAATTAAATTGTGATTATATATATTGCATATTAAGACAAACTCAGATAATATTTATTGTCTTTTAAACATACTGGTTGTTCATGTTATTTTTTATTTTGTTTTATTTTAATTTACACTATTTAATTATTATCTATTTTTATACTGCATATTATATTTTCTTATTTTGTTTATTTAATTTTAATCTAATTGATTGCTTTCACATTAATTATATTTGTTTAAGTTTGTAACTGTCAGCCATATCTGATGGCATTTAAAACCCATCCAGTAAATTCAGCAGGAAATATTAAAAAATAATTATTGATTGGTGTACCAAATTTTATTTATTGACTTCCTCCATGTTTCCTTTTTGCCTAATTCAAAAAATATTTCTTTTTGTGGATTTAAAAAAAAAAGATAAGGAAACTGAGCTTAGAAACGTTGCTGTTTTTTCTCGCCTTCCTCTCTCTTCCTCTGTATTTTTTTTTTCTCCATGAAACCATTTTTAAATGTAAACATGGGAACAGGAATAAACTGAAACTCTGCAAGAGATAGTTTCACCTAATACTGCATGTTGCTACAGAGCCAAAACATTAACCTGTAGGGATATTATTATTGTTACAAATAAATAAAATAATAATGATGAAAATTATAAATAAAATAAAACAATATTTAAACCTTGTTTAAAATAAATTAAATAAAAAATGAAAAATAATAAAATTAATCCCAGCATGCAACAAAAACTTGTTCCTGCCAGAAATACGGACATCCCACCAAAAGACCTGAGATTTGCTCTCTTTGTTCAAGGACCATCAGGATGACCACACATATATAACTTCCCTCCATGATAGAACTTGTGATATTACAGAGTAAATTGCTCCCTTTTATAACATATACATTAATACAATTATAACACAAAATACACACACACCAATATACACAAATACATAAATAAATATATAAATAAATGCTGAATGTTTCCTTATAAGGAAACGGCTAATATTACCTTTACCATTGGCATTTACATCTTTTTCTTTATACACTTGAAGAAAGCTGTAAAACAGACCAGCCAATATGTTGTAGTAATAGACACATCAACAAAAAGACAATTACAACCTACTTTTTTGAAAAATTTAAAAAAAAAAAAAAAAAGATTTCATAATTTTCAACTGAAAGCAGTACTGACTGCTCGGTCAATGAATGCCAAATGTTTCTTTATAAGGAAATAGCTAATATTACTATTACCAATACCATTCAAAACAAGTTTCTAGTTGTGCTTTTATTACAAATTCATGAAACTCTTGTATTTGTACAGTACAGGGAGGGGGTCTTCTATTGCATGAAATACAGAATATCCTGTGATAAGGATGAAGATTACCAAACATTATCATTTGTACGTAAATAAAAGACCCTCCAAACTTAAAAGGTTGGTACAACATAATCTCCATTCCTCCCATTTCTGTTGGCCTTGTGTTATATACTAAGCAAAACTGAGTAAATACCAATAATAAATTAATACACAAAATAGTACTAATGTATTCATTTCCACAGAAATGAAGATATGCTATCTTACAAGCTAAATACTAGTATTTCAATATTTATTTCCAGTCAGTACTGTTTAGTCAGAGGTGCAGGTAGCACTACAGTTATCAGCACCGAATGTGGAATTGTCAAGCCAAGTTCAAATTTCATCCTAGTCTGTTAGATTCATTTCACATTAATTTCTTTGGGAAAAGCATGTATCCATCTCTTCACTCTCCCCAGTATGAGTTAAATAGCAGGGTAAATTAAGCTCTCTAAGCCTAGGAGAGGAATAACT